TCCCCTCCCATTTCTCTGTGCATTTATTCTGCTTTCTTTCACAGGGCACAGAAATGTAATCCAACAGCTTAAGCCTGTGCCCCAGCAGACAGGGACTGGGCTGCAAGCCCAGAGACTTGCGCTCTCTTCCTTTGCCACTTGCCCACTGGTTGCCTCTGGCAAGACACTTTCTCTCTGTCCTGCTGTTCCCTGCCTGCCTGCAGAATACCAAACTCCTCTCTGAAGTGATCTGAGGCTTATGCAGGCAAAAGGCTTAGAAGTACCACAGACTAGTACCACTATTTGCTGTATTTGTTAACATTTGGTATTTTGAAAACAGGTATTAAAAAGCCATTGGTAAAGTGAAATTAGGCAAGTTGCCAGAGCAACCTTAATTCTGTCCTCAGCTGGTCCAAAGAGGCAGAGACACTGTTAGAAAAAGCAGTAATGAGCATGTTGACAAAAGCTTAGGTGCTTACACACTCTCAGCTGAATTAAGGCTTCATGGGCAACCATAAAACTCACAGTCTAACTTTGAGGTCTGCAAGCCAGTTATGGGTATACTGGAGATGTTCTTAGACATAAATTTCTCTTTCCTACAGAAAAGAGTAGGAATAATACCAAAATCCAGTATCTTGAATATTACAATCCATAATCTGTAGCAGAGTTACAGATCTGGAAACAGCAAAGACTACCATGCTCTAGAGACCACGTCTGTGCTGGTGGAAGCTCACACTCCCCCCCCCCCCCCCCCCCCCCCCCCCCCCACTTCCTGGGGATGAGTCCAAAAGCAAGCTGGCAGTGTGGAGACCACCCTGGGGGTTCCTCCTGACCCAACTGCAGCTCCCAGGTATAGGCACTGCCATGTGTAGGACTGCTGATCCAACACCAGTGCCAGCCTCGTTCTTAAAACTATTGTCCCCAAACTGTTACATGCGCACTGAACACAACCTGCTTCATCACCCCGCACCGTGCAAATACCTGCTCACGTCAGAGGTGACGCTTCCCACAGCTGTGTCTCTGGCACACTGTCCCAGCGGGTGCAGGGCTTGTGGACTCCTGCTTGCCAGTGGTTTTATTTAGCTATCTGTCAGGTTGCCAAGAATTTCCCGTGGTATGTGAGCAGCAGGAGGGAGACTGTTTTTACAAAGTTTGTAACTCCCCTAAACATGACTGGAATTTCCATGGAGAATGATGGCACAGATCTAGCCCAAACACCTTCATTCCGAGGACTTCCAGAAGTCTAAAGCAATTCACAGAGACTTATAAGCATCTCAGAAAAGACTACTAGAGTCTTGTACAGGAATAGTCAGTGACCTAGATGTCAAACTGGCCACGCCTGCCTAGGAAAAAATACCAAAACAGTAAGGTTTTTTCAAAACCTCTCTCCTCCCCACCTCCTCCTCCCTGACAGTCAAAGTTGGTAGCAGCTAGACAAGCCTTTTTATTAACACATTAGCACTGTGGGTTGCATTGTTTTCTTCTCTCTACATGTGGGAATTCTGGTCTTGGACCCTGAGCCAAGGCTAGAAAAGTAGCTCCCAAAGCCATGCAACTACATCCCCATGAGCACATCCTCTCCTCAATACCACAGATTTGTGTCCCTTCAAGAACGGGTCCAAAAAAAAAAGGGAGTCCCAGAGACAATCTATAGACTAAAAACCCCCAAGGCTGAAAATAACCAACCAAGTGCAACAGTTTTTCCTCAAGGGAGTCTTCAAAGTGCCTTCCCAGCTGGAAAGTCTAAACACCACTGTCTCCTCTTTAAGCAGGCAGCAAATAAAAAACTTGCCTCAGCTGCATCCCAGCTTGCCCAGTGGCTCACTTCTTCCCAGGCAAAAAAGCCCAGGCCAGCCCATCCTGATGCAGCCCCTTCCTACCACAGTTCTTCTGACCTGAAGGCAGGGGCACGTTATAACACAGCTACACCCACCGTGTCAGTAACATCCGCCCAACAGACCAAGCATGACTCACTCTCAGACCCAGTATGGCAAGATGCAGACTTTGCCTCCCAAGAACAAACATGACTTGTTTGCTCTCAGGCTAAGTCTGGGGAGCACAACACAGCTAACTGCTGCCAAAGCTCGATTACTCTGCGATCAAGCCAAGGTGCCCTAGCTGTCCTCTGCAGGGGCAGCAGCCAAGATGCCCCCGCACCTGGCACACAAGGTTGCCTTCACCAAACTTGCAGATGCCTGCTGTGGCAGTGAGTAACAGCTGCCTCCAGAAAGTCACCATGGAGAAAACTTAAGCAGCTTTTAAAAACCTGCAGTTTTAGTTATTTGGGCTAATGCCAAGGACCCACTGCGGTTCCTCATCCACACTAGTTTAGGATGGATGCAATCTGTGCCCCAGAGAGAAGCATATAAGAGAAAACAAGATCTTCCTCTATCCCTTAAACACTGAGAAATTTTGGAAGAAGGCAGAAAACCATGCCTGCAGAGACTATGAATCTAGAGGTTCCCAATGAGATAGAAATAGCAGAGGAAGATTTGAACAATACAGATGTCTGTAACAGAAAGGGTGTAAACAGCCAAATCGGGTCGCAGAGGAATAGCAGTGGAGCAGTAGGCAAAACAAAAATAGCAGGAAAGGAAAGATAAATAAAAAATTCCTAAAATATATGAGAGCAAACAGACTGACAAGGAAACAAGAGGGCCATTGAGTAGAACAAGGAGAAGAACCCTGCAGAAGCAACCAGGGCAGGCCAGGGATTTATTCCAGCCCCAGAGCGGAAGGCACAGGGAGGGAAGAAGACAGCTGAACTATTTCACTGTAGCAGCAAGGAGGGGAAGAGGAAGATGACTCTGTCAGAAAATTACAACCATCTGCACTTAGGAACAGCAGCATCGGCTGAGCAGTTTCACGTTCACTCCGTAAGGCAGGTGACACACACAGCCTGTTCTCCCACTGGGGTGGCTGGCTGTGGTGGATCTTCCATCCCCATCCCCTAGCCCACCACTAACCATTTCTCTTGTGGTGGCTTGGTCTTCCCTCCAGCTCTTTCAGCTAGATGAGACCATTTTGGGGTATCAATGAGCGTGGCAGGTAAGAAGGGGGTTCAGTAATCCTGCACAGGGAAGGGGCCAAGCTCACACAGCTCTGCATGAAGATGGAAGCAGTCCCTGCCTCTCTTACTACTCCCCACTCTGTCTTCACCCGCTACCACGGCAGCTCCTCTGAAACCTGGTGCAGACAGCAGCTGCTTCTCGCTGTTCTCTCCCAGGGACTTCTGTCTGTGACTTTCCATTCTCCCCTGTTCTCCAAGATCTATCTAGCCACCACAGAAGATTAAGTTATGTCCACAGAAATCCTTCTATGGCTTGAGTGACACGGGGTTTGCCCACACAGCACAGGCATGAACCCTTATGTTTTCTTTTTCCTCTCTCCATACCTCTTTGTGCCCTGTCTTTCTCAGCCAAAATAATTCCTGCAACAAGAAGGGGAAAAACTGACTTACAGAGAAAAACATCTCTTTGCACAAGGTGGTTCCCAAGCTCTGGCAAAAAGGATACTATGTCAAATAGCCCGATAACAAGCCCAGGATGCATACAGCCTAGCCCAATACATAGTAGGGCACAGTGTCAAGATTCAAAGCAAGTATGCCAGGAGATGAGTCTGGAAAGACTCAGGATAAGTAAAACACTGATGGGCAGCAGAACATGTACTGAAAAGGAGACAGCAAAGGAGGTGACAGGTGCCTGGGAAGGAGTCTCCATCCCCTGCACAGAGCTGGACACCACTCGTCACTGGGCCAAGGGAATGAGAAAAGGCCCAGCTGCAGAGCCCACCTCCCCTTCAGTGGGCACCAGGAGTGAGCACACACCGTGCAATGATGGCTGGTTGCTACTGAGATGTTTGGGATCTGGGCTGAGGATCTTCATCCCCCGCCTGTACTGAAGTCAGTCCTGCTTCCTTCTGCAGACAGAAAGCCAAGACTCCCCCATGCTAATCCCAACTCTTCACCTATCACAGAACGGGCCTTAAGAAGCTGCAATTTAAAACAGGTGGCATGGTTGTACTTTTAAATTACTATTTTTCTTTACTATTTATCTAACATTTTTATACCTACCCAGGGTAAGTCTGGTGCTTTCAAGCTACCCTTTGTAACCACCAAGGCTGGTAACTTACCTTTCCAATGGAAACTGGGGCTCTCACCTAACATTATCATAGCAAAACCCAGGTGGGCAGAGACCTCAGAAGGTCTCTGGTCTGACCTCCTGCTCCAAGAAGGGTCTGCTCAGAGCTCAGACCTAGTTCCTCAGGACTTTTAACTAGGCTGGTCTTGTAAACCTCCAAAGATGCAGAGGACACACCACCTCTGGACAACCTGAGTCGCAGCACAGGGAAGAGCTCGGCCTTTCTTCTTTCCACTTTATGCCCAGTATCTCTTTTTTACCCACCACTGTGAACTATTCTGGCTCCATCCTCCCAACCACCACCTCAGAGGGGCCATCAGTCTGCCACCCGGTCCCACCTCTTCCCCCAGCGCACAGGCCGTGCTGCCTCAGCCCCTCCTCACCTCGGCAGCTCCGGGGCCGGTGCTGAACCCGCTCCCCTTTACCAGCGCCCTTCCTCGGGGCAGGGACACACACCGCCCCCCCCCCCCCCCCCCGCCCCCAAACTGTAGTTTAAAAATCCTACAAGACTCGCTTAGAGGTGGGCAGCGCCCAGCATCTCCCCCGCGGGGGGCTGAGGCAGCAGGAGCTCCCCCTCACCGCCGTCTCCTCCCCGCGCCCGGCCGCGGGCTCCGCTCCGGGCGGGGGGACGGCGGCTCCCGCCCGCCCCCGCGGCCGCCCTGCCCTCCGGCGGCTCCCGCCCGCCCTCTGCCGGCCGCGCCGCCGCGCCGCAGCCCCGGCCCCGGGCCCCGCAACCGCCCGCCGGCCCAACGCCCCAGCGGGAGCCGGGCCGGACCCCCGCGGCGGGGAGAGCGCCCGCGGGAGGCCCCTCTGCACCGCGGCGCACCCGCAGCGCTCACAGGCCCCAGCGCCCCCCCCCCCCCCAACGCCATGAGTACTTACTGCCTTGTGAGGCTCCTTCACCTGAGGCAGCTTCAGTGTCTGCAAAGAGAAAGAGCTGCACTTAGATCTGGCGGCCGACTCTGCCCCACGTCCGACATCCCAGGGCTGCGCCTCGGCCTTCCCCGGCGCCTCGCTCGCTCAACTCTCCTCTGGCCGCGGCTCTTCTCTGCTGTGGTGTCCCGCCATCGTGGCCCACGACGCCCGGCCGAGAGTGGCTGCCTCTGCCGAAAGGCACTGGCCCTGCGCGGCTGCGGGACCCAACCGGGCCACCTCACGGGCTGCTTGTGAAAACGCTGCCCGCCGTCCTTTGGAATTGCTGCCAGAACTGCAGCTCTCGTTTCCTGAGCCGCCACAGGGGCCCAGATTCAAAACGGGACAGCTAGATGGGACACCTCCTGCCCCGGCCCTGCACACAGGGAGCCCGCTCGGAGCCGCTTCAGGGAGCCCCGAGGGCTCTGGAGAGGCGCGGGGGGCGCGGGACTGCCCGCCAGCACGGCTCCAAGCTGCCACCTCCCCGCTCGCCCCCTGCACCGACCCCTGCTCTTGCCTCCCTCGGCTTGTGTCCCATCTCCAGGCGGAGGGGCCCTGCCCGAGGTGTCCCAACAGCCCTGCTGTCATTAATGGAGCTCACGATGATGAGTTTTGTAATTCCTAGCGAAGTTTGTTGAAATTGCTCATGCGCTTAGTGCCTGGGCATTGCGCTGCCAACGCAGGCAAGCGCGCAGTGAACAGTGCACCCAGCTCAGCCTCCCGTGGCTGCTCCATGCCGCCTGCTCCACTGCAGTGCCTCCCCATCGCTGTGGCAAAGCCTCTACAAGAGATGGGCTGCGAAAATCCCCCACGGGGCTACTCTATCCTGGTCTTACTGAAGGCACATGTGAAAAGATGGGAGGAAAAGCTCCCTCCGCTATAACACGCGGGACCGCAAGAAGCACACTGCAAAGATCACGTTCAAGCCCTAAATGAATGCAATGGGCAAAGCTGCAAGCTGGAAAAGAAAACCCAATGTTACAAGTCAAGGATCATAAATGATTAGGATTTCCAAGCCATTTTGAAGTGTTTCATATTCATCCTAAATTGCATATACTGTATGTCACATTATCTAATAACATAACTACGTTTCAAAATATTCCGTATGTCTCTTGGAATCATGCTTGCATTGCTTTGAAAACCACAGCTGCAGAATGTCACAGCATTTTTGAATTTAAAATTTGCAACCTTAAGTAATGAACAGTTTGCATTTAATTTCCTTATTTCTTAAAAATAATAAAAACAAATGATTGTGGGTTTGTGAATTTGTACCTTTCTACTTGATTAACCTGCCTGATTAGATCACTTTTCTAGGCAACGATATTAATTTGGCACAACTTCATAAACTGAGGGGCCATCAGAAACCCTCAGTATCAGATGCAAAACCTCGACAGTCAAAGCCCTGTATTTTTCCACAGCTGCTACTTGTTTGAATTACCACCTATCACTCAAGGAAAAAGCTAGCTATGGCACAACGGAGTTCTGCAAAATGCTGTCCTGGCATAAATAAACCATGAAGGATATGTACTATGTATGCACCAGGCCGCTTCTGTCATTTAAATAGCTTTTAAAAGTACTTTAGTCAAACTTAACAAGAATCAAGCAACACAAAAAGGTTTAAGGAGCAGCCATTTCTGAACTGTTGAGAAATGTTACTCTTAGTCATAAGACAGACTAAACTCTTCATGAATTAAAAAAAAAAACAAACCACTAAAAATCCCCTAACAACCCACTCTAAATCACCTTTGGGCTGAGACCAAGTAATTACAGCTTTAAAACAAAAGACCGATTTCTGAGAAAGTTGCAAGAGTAAGTGAGAGTAGGGAGGTGGCAGGAAAGCTGGAAAATAGGCAAGTTAACTCCTGTGTCTCAAGTAACTTTCTGCATGTCCTATAAAAATCTGCTGCAGACTGGGAAATGTACACAGTAAAAAATGGATGCTTGTGATGTAGCACACAGGGCAAAGGACCCCACCCCAAAATCCTGTAATTTTTCAGTAGCAGTTCATCAAACAAATGAAGCCCAACCTTCCTCAGCCCTGAAACACCATCTCTCTACAGGAATGGTTATTTCTCTTTAATTTTCAACTCCTCACCTCAAAATTGTTTCAGTCACAGAACTGCTCCAACTCAGATTCCAAAAATGTGCACTTTGGAAAATGCATTTTTCTACATTCACAATTTGAACGAGTCATCTTCCTTTTTGTATTTTTTGAATCGACAGAACCTATTCTTGGAAAATATTAATCTGAAACTTTGAAAGCTTTGATAATTTTTTTAACAATCAGTTAAACTAGAAACTTCTCCTGAAGAAAGAAATCCTACTCTAGTGCATTCAGCATCTATTCTAGATGATGGTGGATCAGCCCCTCGGCTGGCACACCCATGGGGGAAGGTAACAGCTGATCAGTTCAGAGGAAGGCAATGCAGCAACTAAATAATGTAAATAATTAATAAAGAAAAACAACTTGAGCAAAATCATCATTCAGCCCAGAAAAGCTTATCTGGAAACAGAGAACTTCCACCAATTATTAGAACAGAGGCGATATATCCTGCGAGGGTTAAACTTGAGCCTTGCTATTTTCTTTTATTTGCTTTCTGAAGAATTCTCCTTTGGGTAAAAATCTCCCTTGCTTGGCCTCAGCCCAGAGGTTTTTAAATTTGCTGTTTGAAAGTCTAATAAAGTAATTTCAGCCATTTTTTTTGAGTTATCTAAAAGTGAAATAATTTTCCTGACTCAAAAACATGTAGAAGTTTTGCTGCTCATGTTGCTTAAATATGACCCAACCGTACAAAACAAAACTTTCTAGCTGACTAACTCCTGAAGACAATCCAAACCTTTTAATGACTTGAAAAATCCCACACAGCTAATCAAAAAGCACTGTAAGCAAAACATTTTTCAGGCCTGGGTTGCATGTAGGCGAAGAGGTTTGTCAGCGGCGATCCCTGGGACAGAGCCTTCCATCGCCACCAGGAATGTGCAGCCCTTCTGCTCCAGCTGAACCCCAGCAGCTCTGCAGGAGGAAGGAGCCGCAATCCTGCAGGGCTGCACAACAGCTCACAAAGGAGCCTTTCAGCTTGACAACATAACTTTTTTTGTTGGGTTTCTTTTTTATTTTATTTATGAGTTTTGGGGAGGCGAAGGGAAAGGAACACAACCTTTTAATTTCTTCCTTGATAAAACGTAGTGAGTACATTTTTTACCTATGTTTCTGATTCTTTGCAGAACCCTTTACATGGGGTTTTCCATGCCCGCATCTTGGCTTTCAGAGCAAAGCAGAAAGGGAGCTTGCCCCTGCAAGGTGGCACGTCTTGGAACAAGAGTTGCCTCAACCCTTTGAACTTGCAAACTGCCAGAAGATCAATCGCTAACTGAAAGTCTCCAGCCAATGCTGAGCACCACAGGGAAGGCTGAAGAATCTAAGAAAATGCCCCATTTTCCAATAAGAAACCACCCATTCCTGAGAAGGCTGAGAATAAAAAAAACAGCCCGAAGAACTCAGGTCACCTCCAACACAGCTCCTCTACCATGGAGACCTACAGAGGAGGCAGGCAGAGTTATAAAAAAAATCTAGGAAATTTCTCCCAAAAATGACCATTACAGAGAAAAACGTGATGTTGCCAGTGTAAGAATCTTAATGTGAACTGAACAGCTCAAAGGATGAGAAGAAATTTAAGTTTTGCACAGGGCAAAACAAGCAGCTGACAAGTAAGGATGGACTGCAAAAGCAGAGAGGGTGTCAGACCTCCCACCCGTGCTGGCCACGAGCCGTAAACCCCAGACTCCCTGCTACAGCTCCAAACTGGACACCGAGATGTACAAAAACCAGCTTCAAAATAACCCAGTTCAAAGCAAGGACAAGTGGAGACCTCCAAACCTGCCATCCCAGGGACAGAAGTTCTGTCACTGGATGGTGACAGTGGGGCTGGCTAAACAGATGTTTTTTTCAGTAGTTCTGCCCCAAAGATCCAAACCAGAGCAACGCAGTTACTATCTGCTTTCCCAAGGGCTGAACATTTTGCATCACCAGCTCTGTCCATCTGCAGGACCAACCCACAGCTTGGCCAGGGACCATCAGTGACACAGCAATCACACAAGAAAACAAAGAAAGAAAAAAGCAAGGGGAAGGGGTGTATCCTTCAGCAAATCACAAAAAGCAGATACTTCTGCTTGAATGCCCCAAAATCCCTGAAAGAAAGCACCTGAAGGGAAGAAAAAGGGGCCCGAGTTTGCTCTAGCTACTCTGATGCTGAGCTGGTGAGTTTATCAAGGATCAGTGAAACCTTCAGGGAAAGGCAGATATTACGTGACCAAGGGGTGGCCCAGACCTCGGGGAAACCACGGCTGACGCTCAGAAAATGCATCAGGCAAAGAGGGAATGCCCAGTCCTGGCACTGCAATACAGCTCCTTCCTTGCCCAGCCAAAAAGAAATGACTGAAAGATTCGGGATCTGAATTTCTGGCAGCTGATAATTGCATGTAACAGGCTGAGGGAGCTCAGTTTTCAGTGCTTCGAGGACAAGCAGACCTAGGAAAGCTGGCTTGCCAGTGCCTTGGGGTTTTATTCAAGACGTGGGCAGAAGATACACAAGGAGAACATGCAAAGTGCAGACTCACATCCTCGGTGTATGTGTGACCATAAAGTTATCTCACGTTCTTTATGATGGTGCAGTACCAGCCACTTCTTATATATGATACCTTACATATGTGTGGCAATATAAGCATCTCTCACCAAAATTTCTTTCAGTCCTGCAGTCTTATGCAGCATTGTTACTGGTACAGTTCCATGTGCAATTCTCTCTGGATAGCATCACACAGGGCTTCTCTCCACAGAATTCCTTCTTTTTTACTAACTATACATTACATGCACATTCAATGGCACATTATTTCTCTGCAGACAGGTACATTTCACGACTGCTTTAACTGCCAGCTCAGGTTCTGTTTCTGGGAGAATCACATTTACAGAGTTGCACTGAGTTTTCAGTTTGATTTCTTGTTGAAGAGTGTACATGAATAAATATCTCATTTTGATTTTTATTGTCTTAAGGCAATTCAAATGCACTTTAAATGTTACTACCACACGCATCAATTTACAGCAACGTAAAACAACATTTTCTAAGTTTCACATATATAAATTGTGTTTCTCCACCACTGATGTGAAAATTACTAATAAATTTCCACACTGAAAATTTTGAAATTTTCCATCTTCTATAGCTACACATTAAAAAGGCTTTGGAAGCAAAAGGTGAAGTCATGTCTCCACTGAGTTCATGACAAAACTATGGATACCAATTGTACATTTGTATGCTAATAGATCCAGACCATTAACTTGATTTCATGATCAAAATAAAAAGAGATGTACAAATACAGATCAGTTGGATCTCATACTAGGAGGTGACCTCATACTAATACAGCTCCTAAAATTCCAGCTGAATTAAGGATCCCATAATGCTTGGGGAAGAGAAGTAAAATAAAAGCAATCCTTGTCCCAAATCTCAATACTGCAATTATTATTGCAAAATTAATGCAATGCTGTCATGCAACAGTAAAGCATTCTGCATGTCAGCAAATAAATGCTGCTCACTATTATTTTAGGGATTTTTTTTCTTAAACTACAGAGTGAAGCTACTTTGTAGTTACATTTAAAGGACTTTTAGGAATTTTATTGGTATTTAGAAAGGAATACCAGCATTGAAAAACAATTCTGCATGTATCTAAGGATACAGAAGAAGCTCTGTGATGTCAAACAGCATACAAGAAATATGCAACCATGCAGTTAAAGGATGCATTATGAGACTGTGAAAAACTTTGAGAAGTTAAGGATGCATGTTCACTTTTCAGCTGTGTATTTGCTGACTTCTGAAATTAAATATAAATATATAATAAATTTAAAATTTATTATATATTTATATATAATATAATATATATATTATATATAATATAATAAATTTAAAATTTATTATTGCATTAGCCTTCAATATTCCTGGATTTTCAAACTTTTCACTGGGAGTTTCCTTTATGCTCCTTTAGATGTTCCAGTCAAACGTTTTACTGAAGAGCACATGTGCTGATACTGCCAGTTACAAGTGAGGAGCTAAAGCAGATGCTCCTGCAAGTGTGACACATGGACTTCAGTGCTCAACTCAGGTGAAAGAAAATAAAACCACTGCTCATGAGCTAGTTTCAAGTCACTGTTGTTCTGTTGTTTCTGATATGTATTTCTCCAAACTATACCAGCTACATTAATTGTACAAAACACCAAGCAAAACTTTCACATTTCTGCAATTAAAGAACTTTGAAGTGGCCAGTCTTACAGAAAATTCAAATGAAGTCACTCCTGACTAAGCATGAGATATTTCATACAAACAATACATTTGGAAAGTGACTTCAGCTAACAGCAGGGCTATGGGGGTGAATTTGAGTATCATTTTGATTGTAACATAAAAATACAGCAGTCTAACAATGCTGATTTCTGACTTTATATCCCCCCATCCCGACTTGACAGGCAGCTGGGCAGGAGCATGGAGCACCTGGGGGAGATGCCTACCCTGCACTGGTAACTGCACTGCTGGCACAGGAGAAACTCTTTGATTTGCAGCTCTCCCAACACACAGCAATGCCCCCCAAAGCCCAATGCAGGACATACTGCACCAAATGCAAGAGCTGCTCCTGACCTCAGAAGAAAGCTTAGACAGCCCCAAAGTTTATCCTAGGAATGGGCCACCGAAAAGAAGCATTACTGGTGAACAGAGAAGCAGCAGAGCAATCTTCAAGACCTCCCTGAAAACAGTCCCTGAACCTGAATGTTACCCCAGGATTCCCAAAGGTTTGAGCAGGAGTGAGATACCTCTGTGTGCTCGCACATGGGTCTGGAAACAGTTGTAATACTTGTATTTCTTCCCACATATTCCACACTCGTAAGACCCTGAAAAACAAGACAGAAAAGTATACATCACCATATTAGATCAGGAAAAACAGCCTCACCACATACTTATCCATAAACTGAGGACAAAAGAATGCAGTTTGAAGCAAAGTAATTTTTGGAAGGTTCATGGAGATAAATGCAGGAAATCACTATCCCAGACTCAATTCTTTTTTCAGCCTTATTTAAGATTCCTTGGCATATTACCCTGAACTTACATTTTCAGTATATCTTTTAACTTTGCTAACACGAAAGGCCCACTCTCAAAATAGCCTGACTTATAATTTTATAATAGTGACTAATATTTCCTATGGACAGAAATAACCTTGAATTACTTTTCAGTAAGTTCCTAGTATATGGGAAAAAAAAGCTCTTCAAGTGAAAAAAGAAGGCAGTATGTTATCTTGAGGCAAGGAGTTTTCAAAATTTCTCAAGAAATGCACAATGTACAAATTTCTCAAGAAACCCACAGAGATTTGGTAAATATCCACCCAGAGGAAACCAAATAGATACAAATAGAACTTCTGACCTTTTTAAGGAAAAGCACATGACCACAGTAGTCTCTCTTCTCAATTTGTGTCTCTAATTCCAGAAAACACACATCTGCAAACAGTCATTTGAAATAAAACCAGAGAAACAGAGCTGGGAGAATCATTTGTAATGATGAAATTATGCAATGAATTTAGCCTCTTCTGTTTACTGGACAGGCAGACAGAAATTTCCTTAGTTTTGTTATTTAAGTTGATTCAACCTTTTTTTCCCCCACTCCAACTTGGTGAACAGGCTATAAATTAATCTTTCAAGCTCTCACTTGCAAAATGTATTGCATTTCTTAGCTGTTCATGAGTAACTGTGATCCTATCTGTGCTCTTTGGCAGTGCGAGAGCAACTCTTAGTGGAAGGGAAGGTGGGACAACGAAGAACTGAGTATTATTTTGCGTGAACACAGCATTTAATTTCCATGGACGCTTCCTCACAAAACTTTAAAACAATCTTTTCCTGACCATGCAAAACAGTAAAACTCAGGGATGAGCCACAAACAAGAACAAAACATTCACACACACATCCAAATAAGTGTTCCCAAACATCATTTTACACCAATACTTACCCAGTGCTACTCAATGTGAGCTCTTTCCAGGAACAAAACCAACTGTCTTTTTTGAACACGCTATACCCATGTTCTTTTTTTTCCCTTCCCATGCCCTACTGCTTACAGCCTGGGAAGAAAACAACCCTCCTTCAGTTTGTAACAGCACTGAATTCCCAGTCCATCACTGCTAGCATCACTTGGGACTGTCTTTTGATATTGAGAGGCTTACTTTGTCACTGATGCTGAAAGAGGCAATTTGCTACAGTCTGATACACAAGAGTACACGTCTGAAAAAATACTCCGAAATACTGATATGATAGTCAGTTGACTATGTCTGACCTGCTCCATAGCCTTTTAATTATCATAGCTACTTGTTTTTATATAGAGATATACATATATATGGGACAATCATCACCTGTGGTCACTCCATACGGGCTTTTCGAAGTGAATTCCTGGATATCAGCAAGTTGGCAGCATCTTCCAGCCCTTATTTTCCATGCTCAAGGAATGATGATATTCATCGCCAACCTCCAAAATTCTTTTCGGAAAACTATTCCAGCTAGAGCCCCAAAGCAGCACTGCCAGAAGATGAGCGCACCCACCGTCACTCGGGCCCTACCAACCAGTAACCCTGCGCAACACCTGATGTTCAATGAGGGGCTCTAGGCTGAATTTTTTTTCCCATTTTTCTTACATTTCCCTCTTTCTCTGGAGACAGTCTATGGCACATAAATGCATTTCGCTGTGCGGAAGTTTTTCAAGAAGAGTGTGACCTGTACAAGTAACTGTGTAGTGCCTTTCCTCTCCAATACAAAGCAAACCGGTGCTGCAGCCCTGATGCGAGGGGCTGTGCCTGGAAAGCAAGGGCAGGAGCCGAAGGCAGGGGAAGGACCAGCGCGTCCCACTGCCAGTGCTGTTGTGAGGGTGTTCTGAAGCACCCAGCCCTCAAGTGCAACCCAGGGACGGCTGGGGTCATCTTCTTCAAGGGGGATACCACCACCCACCTCCTATGCTCAGATAGTAGAGCACTGCTCCAGGAGAGCAGCGAGTTTGTGGAGGGTGTAAGGGAGGTGCATTACAGATCTGAAGTCCTGAAGGCACTCAGAGGCAACTCAAGAGCCACAACTGTTTACTCAGCACACCACAATTCAGGGGGCAAAGGTACAGATCCTCATATGGAGAAAGGAGGGATGACTTGCCACAATAAATGTGTTATTAGAGTAGAGGAAAGATGAAGTGGAGGAAGAAAAAAAAAAAAAAAAAAGAAAAGACACTATATGTTAAGGCCTTACAAAGAACATGCCCGTGTTGACTTGGACACTGGCAGCGTGGTCACCGTTTATCTCAGACTTTGTCCACATCCGGATGTGTCATGCAGGTTAAAGCTGTTTGTAGTAGGAGGGGAGATGGAGAAGGTTTTTGGTTAGTTGATGCATTCAGTTTTGCCAGGCTTTTCCTGAGCCTCACAGGTGGAATATGGGAGTACACCCATTGCACACAGAGCTTTCCCTTGCTCCCTGATCCCTGGTTAGACTTTCACACCCTTCCATCACATACCGGACGTGTATCTCAATGCATGGTCAAAAATCCAGGTCCCTGAATATCGATTTCGTGTATATCCAACGGGAGAGCCACGTTCCACTGCTTTTCCATCTAAATTGTGCAAAAAGAAATCAGAAAAAAGCCCTTAAAGTGGATGCATTTCCAAAGAATAATGACGGCTGAAGCCTATTAAAAATTTCCAAGACCCATCTGTCCCTGTGGCTTGATAACAAGATGTCTGAGGTCACACAGAGTTTCTTAGGGCTTCTGCAGCACTATTTTATTTGGTATAACTAGGGAGAATCCAAAGTGCTCTTGAATTACGTATATTGAGCAGCTCAGCAACTGAGACATCAGCGTCACGGCATGAATCAAGCATGTGCATGTAAGATTGATAGTCTCAAAGCAGAAGGATTCACTCTTCACTCTGTCTCAGGAACATTTCTGATTTAATGTATTACTTGAAAAATCCTCTCCAAAATGTTTCTCGTAAAGCACGGACCAGATCGAGACCTTAAATAATCTTGTATAAAACTTCTCCTGATAAAGCCACAGATAACTCAGTCCTCCAAAACACAAATACTGACCTGATGGTGTTCCCAACATTAGAAAATGATCCACATCAGCCAAATAGTCTCTCCTCCTTTCTGATTTACAACACAAGTGCCATTTTCTTTTCCTCTCCTTTCTAGATAGCTTCATAGTGGATTTATCTGCCTTTTTGCCCTGACACCCCTGCCCTGAGAAATATTAACATGTTGGAGTTCTTCAAAATACCCCGGCTCAAGGCCAGCATGTGAAACCAGAAAGGAAATAAGAAGAAAAGAACAGGAAATATTTCATCTCGGAGCTGTGCAGGGTGAGAAACACAGCACCTACAAGGAAGGGAGAGCCGGCAGTACCATGGGGGGGTACGGGTCGGTGGACAGGGAGGAGAGCGGGATCCGCAGAGGCAACATCAGTCCGCTGCTGACCGGACACAGGGATACCGCCAACCGCTCCGTTGGCATTCTTTGCTTGGGATGCCCAAAGTGGGGCTCCACGGGGCTTGCAAGACTTCTGTGGAAAAGCAGATGAAAAGGAAATGGTCCAAACCCACAGACATCAGCACCGGCTCTTCAGCAGGGGGACTGCAGCCACTGCCACCATCCATCCCGCTTCGCTGCGTCCGCTTTCATCCATCGCGGGGTTTGGGCTGCTCCAAACAGATGGAAACAGAGTCTGGAGTAGTCCAAAGTGCAGGGAGAGACATGTGAATGTGTAACCAAACAGGAGGCAGCATACTCAAGGCTTAATTTGATGAAAACACTGTAAGCAAATAGCAGCAACTGAGCTGGGAATCCCTGTCACAAATTGCTCCAAGTAAAAACTAAAAATATAAATATAGCACACTCCTGCAGGAGATGTGTGACTCAGAAAAGAGACATAAATCTTCTAATACGAATTTCAGCCAAGTGCTGAAGCTGAGCCCTGAAGGAAAGCTTGTCTGTCACTTGGAGCCATGTGTGCCCTGAAGCCTTCAACACTGTGGCCCCGGCTCAGACACCACATCTCCCATTTAACTGACTGTCCCCAGCACATCATGGAAGGAGACAAGCTGGGGGTCGGCATTTCCATGTGAAGGAGAGGGATTCATTTACTTCCGATTCACCACTTCATCCTGCATCATGAACTACCATAAAAAATAACCATTTTTGACACCTCCAATCTCAGCTTCCCTGACGAAGGTGAATAAAATCCTACCAAAGCCTTGCCTTTCTGCACAGCTGAAGTGATTTAGATATAGGGCCACCAGATCACATCATGAGAAACTCTTCAGGGAGAAAAACTCCTGGAAGGACTGGTGAGGAGAAGAAGAGAGAGAGCATGAAGCCTTTGCTCTGGAGGCAGGAGGCACCGGCACCTTCAGCTGTTCACAAGCTTGGGCTGTTCCAGCGCAGCAGCCGAAATCACCGGTGAAGCAGCAGGCACGGGGCGTTTCTTGTGCGAGTTACACAGATGTCTGCAGCGATGGAAATAGTGCCTGGCTGTGGTTTCTGCAGGGGGACGGAGGGAACCAGAAGAATTGACTGGGAGCCAGTTCAAGAAACCACAAGGAACTGATATCTGGGCACCATGGTCGGTCCACACAGAGCACAGTATTTGGTGGCCAAACAGAAAAGTTATTCAGAGCCACCTCCCCAACAAACAAGAGTTATGTGAATGGCGGATGAATAGGGGCACTTACAGGGCTTTTTTCACAAAGGAATCGGCCGCCAACTGCCAATCGCCTCAGGACCAAGTTGCCTTTAAAGAAACCCAGCATGAGGCTATAAAATAACAAATATGATGCACATTTCATTTGAAAAGGCCCTTCCAGATAGAAGTTCTCCAGTTTACTTTCTACGGCTTTCAACTGCCACTTGTTAACTAGTAAGTAACTCTCTGTCCCTCTCCCCGTGGTCCCTACACATTGAACAGTATCCCCCCTCACCCCCGCCTGCCCCCAATGCTCTCCATAGGTATGACATGATGGTGTACATCCAAGTTAGACAACAGCAAAAGCCTATTCCCCAGTCTGCGCAAGAATATGGTCAGCTCAGGGGACATCATCTTCAGAACAGCTGCTGCCACCCAGCCAGCAGCCTTGGGGAGAAAAGGGTCCTACATGGCAGACACCCAGCCTGCAAATGCTTTCATCGAGGGCTGGTGACCACGGCTGAAGGAGAAGCTGCTATTGCCTCCGATCAGCAGCAGTCTCTCCACCCGTCCCTCCTAGGATGCCAGGGTCACCTCCACATTTCAGATTTGCCCTTGCAACAATCAACCTCAACAATCAAGAGCTGTGGGGACACAAAAGCTGAGAATATACACAGAGTATGTCCTCCAAATTGTATGATCTTGAAGTTGGAACCAGTTATGGACTTCTCAGACTTTGCCTAAATGTTCTGACCCACCCTGCTGTTATTAGTGCCTGTCCTGCTGGAGAAGGGAGGACAGGCAGGACACCAATGCTCCCCACAGTTTCCAGCTGATGACACCCTCCAGGGTTTCTTTTCAACAGTGCGGACAATGATCAAGCAAAAACTGCGAGAAAATCTAACATCAATACATCTTTTCTCTCCCCCTGCAAGACAAACCAACCCCAACAGCAACACTGGGAAGCTCAAATTAGACTTCTCCCAAGTCCCTCAAAAGAAACACGATCCAACTTCTCTGTCTTCTTTTTATCAGTAACTTCCTTTGGCTCTCAGAGTCACTGCTGGGACCTGCTCCATGTCAGAGCCAACAAAGGAGTCCTTTTAGCAAGAGTGGTGGCTCTCCAGGATCCTACAGAAAGCTCTTTCCCTGGAGCAGGAAGAGAGGACAGTCTGATGTTCACAGACAAAAAAAAATAAAGGTTCTCATCACAGCTTGAGGTGGGGTAGGGATAGGAAGTACTGTTTTGGAAGTAGCACACCACAGCCATCCAAAAGTCAAAATTATTCCCACAATGTTACTAGCGATCAGAAAAACAAACAAACAGCAACCTGTAAAATCTATTTTTGAGCTAAATCTAATTATTTACAGAAAGCATCCACTCTCCTCAAAGCAACTTTCCTCAAAGCATTCCAGCTGTTTCTCAGGCTTTCCTCCTGACTGTCTCCTCATCTATGCCCAACATATCTACCACCAGCCCTGGGTTCACCATGAATTTTGCACTTCATTGACGGGTAAGTCATTTAACACATCAAAAGAAGATAATAAGCTTTTTCTTACAGTTACGCTGATCTTGGTTGAGTCTTTAGGGGTGACCAGATGCAAACAGATACCAAAGCTAAAGACAGTCAATAATCCTGAGCCAGGACCCTCAGACTGATGTGCACCTTGGCTCTGGTCCTTCCAGCAGAGCCGAGCTTCTAGAGCAGCTCTCCAGAGCTTCACTCCTCTCCCCACACCATGGACTGAGGGAACCGACTGATGGGGCGCGTTACCCCATAGCTTACCGAGCGTCTGCTGGTTGCGGACCCCACCTATGACCACGCAGATCTCTGCAGGCACATCTCCCGGCCCATCTTTTATGTTCTTCTTGGAATCTTTGGTGTCATCCTGCCAGATCACCTCTTCGATATAGTCATCTGGTACCTCTGTTTTCACTTTCACCTCAGTCATCATTCCAGCCTCTTCACTGGGTGAGGACTGAGATGTCACCGAATCAGAGCCCTCCGCTTTTGGGCTCCGCGGGCTCCGCTTCAAACACTCCCTGAATGGGGGGAAAAGAGGAAAAAACATTAATCCTCACTGTCAAGCCCTCACCTTTGCATTACTAGGACCTAATTAAAGGTACTTTCATTTAACACAGTTTATTTAAAATAAGTATGGTTAGGTATGCATGTCTGTCATATATGGTAAGTAATTAAAATGTAACCAGACGAAAGTAATAAAACCATTTTCTAGTAACGAAAATAACCTTAATTATCACAAATAATAGTAGCAGTCATAAACAGACCAGACTACTAAACAAGAGCACAGAATTTCATGTGGTTCCTAGCAGGCCTGGAGCACAACTCTAGCAGTCCTGACATCAAATATTATGCCAAGACTAGTCCATGCAAAGGAAACACCATATTCTCCTGACATTTTTCATCTGGAGCTATCTTGCCCTTGTGCACTTCTCCATGGGTTAACCTACTGTCACATCGTCTCTTTTAACCCTTCAAAGCAACCTAACTCTCATCCTATGGTATTCATATGGCCTTATTTAACACATATGGGGATGATCAAAGGGAATCATATATAGTATACTGGTATTTAGGGAGACTATTACGTTATGGACAGATATAAATATCGAAGATGACAGAGAAAGCGTGATGGGTGGGGAAAGGCAGAGAGAAGCAAGGAGGGGTCCAGTGTATTTAGAAACAGATAAAGGAAATAGTATGTGTTTTCATCTTGGAAAGAGAAGGCTGGAAATTAATGAGAAAAAACAATCTAAATAAATAAATATTTAAAACCCCTCAAGGGAAGGAAGGAAACTGGACCCCCCTAAGCTGTAAAACAACATCAACAAGTGATAAGGTGGCAAAAGGCTGAGGGATTTTAATCATGACACATGAGGACCAGGTAACCTTTTCCAAATGCACCATCCCACCAGTCATTATGGGCTCCATGTTTTTAAGACTGGTTATTAATAAATTCCAACATGCAATGCAAAGATAAAATAATTGCTGGTTCAGACTGTGGAGAAATCAGAAGAACTAAATATATTACAATAGCTTAGACTACCCAGAAACAGAGATTTTAAAGACCATGACATATTTAGAATCATGTAAACACTGGGAACAGCTGAAGGTGTTTGAAAACTTTTAAAGCAGAAGTAATAGACACAATTAAGTGAAAAATAAGCTGATTTTACAGTTGAGAGTTATTAGACCACGCAATAGCGAAAGTGAAAAAAAATCCCACTGCTTGGAACATCACAGAAAGTCAGAACAAAGTAATGTTAAAACGTTAGAAAACTAACACCTGCAATGGTTTCTAATACTAGTTATGGAGCTGGTAAAGAAAGAAAAATGCTGCAACTGAAGGCAAGTGCCCAGTGGGTAATCCTGGGAGGATGGAGATGAGAGGAGCAGATGAACGAAGAGAACAATCTCTGCAATAATTACTGCACAACCTCCCACATGGACATGTAGTTGCTATTTCAAAATGGGTCAAGTCACATCGTATCACCGGATATTTTATTATTCATCCCTCCATTCTCATTATGGAATGAAATGTACAATTTATAGCCCCTAAACAGCAAGAATTAGCCTTGACCTGCCTCCCCACTCATTCCCATCCTCCTCACACATACTCCCCCTGCTGATGCTCCCAAAATCATACAGGGCTTCCACAAGTGAGAAAGATGAATTAAGACAGAGAAAATGTGGTTAAAAACTGGACAATCTTTATGGTAATATTACTAGATGTCCAATAGGTCCATCAATCTCACCCAACCGCGGTGTGGCTGAGCACCCGTTCTAAAGCCAAGGGAAAGGGGGCAGCCAGGAGCACAAGTACAAAAGACTCAGCAATCAGAAAAGGGACTAATTGCAAATCAGTCAAAGAAGGTGTAAAATCCAAAACACTGATGAAGGCAGCAAAAGCCACAGGGTGGAGGGAAAAAACATTCCTCCTTTGGTGAGGACAGTGGAAGAAGATCAAAATCAAGCCAGTAAGATTCTCACTGGTAGGCAGAAAGATGAAAGCAGCCAGTGAAAGCCAGCTTTGCACCTAAAGGGAAGGCAAAATATCTCAGTTATAGATGGTAGAGCAACCTGTACTTGCCAATCCTGGATAAAACAACATAAAAATCAATGCAGGAGCCAACTGATCTGGAATTAAAAGCTAATACAACTAGCAGTGAGGCTAAGGATACAGCTTTCTGAGAAGATTATCAATTGGGTAAGAATATAAGAGATCTTCTGACAGTGCCTAGCTTTGCATCATGTCACATTCAGATATAAAAGAAATCAGCAGTACATGGCACAAAGCAACAAACAGGCCATGTGCTGCAAGGCAGAATGCTCTGTTCGACATGTGTGGCTCCTCAGTAGAGGTATTTCCACAGGGCTCCTGAAATGGTTGATGTGGGACAGATTTATTAATGCTCTGGAATTAAATTTAACGTCACTGTTGCTAAAAATTACGGGTGACCCATGGAGGGGTGGAGAGCAATGACTGTGAAAGAGACACCAACACCAGTGGATCCATCACTCCATAAGCTGGCTTTTCCCAAGCCAAGCAGCTCTAGCGTAGTCAAAATGTATCCAGGAATGTGGGTGCACTCACCAACAGCACCCCCGTGATGCCAGCAGGCAGGTCAGGCTGCAGCCACCCAGAGCCACACTGACCTAAAGGACTAACACAATTTTTGGATATACGCGTCTGAGATCGGACAAGGAGGTAATTTTCTCCCCGTACAAAGCCATGGTGAAGCCAGTCCCAGCATGCTGCAGTCAGAGTGCCCTCGTTTGTAAAAGGTGATTAGAAAAGCTGGAGACAGTTCAAAAAAGAGGCACTGAAATGGTTCGAGACTGGGAAAAGAGAATTTACAACTTTGCGAGACCAAACAACTTCAATTCATTTCTCATGCCAAAAGAAAGACTGAGAGATTATTTGGTTGCAGCATATTATCATCTTCATGGGGAGAAAATACTGTCTTTCCTTAATTTGGCAGGGAAAAGTAGTGTACGAGCTCATTGCTGGAACCAGTTGAAATGAGGCATAAAACATTAGCACGGATGGTGGTCCATTGAAACAACCATTTTCCAAAGGATGTGCTCAGGAGAACAAATCTTTCCAAGTCTTCAAACCCAGAGTACCCTTATCTGGCTGGCCCTGGGTTACTGGGCTCAGTGCAGATGTGCACTGGCCACACTTGGTAGCCTGAAGCTGTAGGAGTATATAAATTATTAGATCAGACCAATGGACCCTCAAAAACTTTGCCTTTCACACACGCTGACTTTCTGGATCATCTCTGCCAAGCAAGTAACTTCCTGGCTGGGCTGTCTGCTCCTAAGTGGGATCTAAACCTGCAAACATTAACTGAATGCAATACTATTCCTCCAACATTGACTCGTATCTTCTAAGCCTGAGTAGGTACTTGGTGTACAGAAAGACACCAGCCCTAAACATTTTAGCAACTGTCTTCTGCATGATTTCACAGTATAGAAGCCCTGGTGATCCTCTCGAAAACAAGATAAGCAAAACCATAAAAAACATAGCACCACTGGATTTTTACAACAAGTTTACAACAAGCAGACACCTTCCCTGTCTTCGGACACTTTCTAGGAGAGAGAAAGGCAGCAGGCAGCAGATGTGCCCACTGCGTGTGTCAGGGAGGTGAAACCACAGCCCTGCAGCACTCCCCGCCGAACACCCCAGCACTGCGTGCAGGGCCAGGCACTGCCCGGGGACCCAGCAGAGATCTGCACAGACCCACGTCCTGTTCACATCCCTGGGAAAGAGCTCTAAGGTGGTGAAAAGGGAATAAATTATAAGCATCATGTCCTCCTTCACATGGATTTATAAAAATAAAAATACATATATAAATGTGTGCATTTCTATATGCGCGCACACACACACACACATGCACGTATACATGTAAGAAGGGCTGATCCTTGCGTCTCTGGTGGCATCCCCCTTGTCACACCCAGCTCCTACCCCCTTCTGCCACGGCAGCCCCAGGACACACATTCTCTGCTGACACCCTGAGGTGCTGGTGTTTTATTGCACGAGCCAGACCCTGTTTCACAGCACTGAGGGCCCCGGCATCCGGACTGCGCAAGCCAAAATGCAGGGAACACCATCCCAAATGCAAACTGTGCAGCTGACCCACACCAGGCTGGAATCAGTCCCACACCACCTGAGAGCAGTTTTAGCTACTTTTTCCATGGCCATTGCTGTTTCACTTAAGGAGGAAAAGCTATGTTCTCACACTGCTCTTACTATTTCATATCTTGCAGAGATTTTCTAGCCACTGGCTGATGTCAAGCTTTAGCCAAATTTCAACTGCAGACGCCTTCCAGCTCAATGTCCAGAGGAACATTATGGCATAGCAGAATACCTTCAAATAAATATAATCAAACAGTAACACAGTCCCAGCCCTCCTTCCTTCTCTGAATGTGCTACACAGGGGACAGAGAAGCCTTAAGACTCCGACTGCTTCATGTGATGCACGAGAGGGGCATCACCAGCTGCTGATAACAGCAGGTGAAAGCGATGGACCCCTCCTACCTTCTCTGCACATGGAGAACATTTTCCTCACCTCCGTCTTTACAACCTCCAAAGGACTGATGGATAGACTACACCAGAGAACTTGTCAGAAGACTACAAAACAAGGTCCTGACTGGTGATGGGATCAACTCTTACCAGCTTCTTGCTAGCAGTGACAGAGAGAGCGGTCGCCAGCAGCGCAGCAATCATCACTCACCCAGTGACTGTCCAGTGACAGTTCAATCTCTTATTCTGCTTGGACACTGCAACCAAAAAGCTGCCCAAGCCCAAAGGCCCCTTTCTGGGCCAGAAGGCACAGGGCTGACAGAGAGCTGCTGCTGAAGATGCCAATACACCCAACCAAGCAGCGCCGAAACCCCTGGGAGCAGGTCTGAGCTCTCAAAAAGTTCACTCAGTGCCTTGGCTGAGGGTTATACAGCTTTGGAGAGAAGAAGGCAGCAGTGGTGGAAGAGAGCTCTCCTAGCAAGAACTATCATCACCTTC